AAACCTCATACCTCCTGGCCCATAAATCACCAGCGTGTCATTTCACACGGCCAAGGGCTGCGAGCAAGCAGAGTGCTGCACAGCCAGGTGACAAATTCATTTTGGATGTCAGAAGCAGCAGAGCTTCCAGTCAATCTCAGGCTGCAGTGCCTGAATTCAGATTTACACATCTAGCAGATTTGTCTTGTTTTATTGTCTGTTAATTCATTCCACCACAGATGAGAGTGAAGGGCAGGTGCCAATGCCCTGGCTTGCAGCAGAGGGAGGGAAGAAATTCAGCCCCTCTTGATTTGACTTGGGAGAGCAGGAAAGGAGGGACGGACTGTTCCTAAAGCCAGCTGGTGTTCATGAGGCAAAGCAGGGCTCCTTCAGCCATAGTGGAGAATAAAAAGCAACATCATTTGGGACTGAAACAGCAGACATTTGTAATAGGGAAACTGTAACACATATTGCTTATGATGGGCTTGACATCCGGATCTAAGTCCTGCTGTGTTTCACCAAGGGTCACGTGCACCTTAGATGCTTCCAATAAAAGCCTGACATTACTCCAAACACAGCCATGAGGGGCAGGTGCTGTCACTTCACACCTGATAAAAAGAGAGGCAGCATGCCACCTCCACCTCCCGCTTTCACACCAAGCACAGATGGACCTGCTGCTGTAGCGGGTTTGGTTGCAGCAAGCCCTGCCTGGGCACATTGCTGCACTGGGCTTTTCTCTCTCCCCCTGGGCCAGTGCATGAGCATCATAAAGGTATTTTGTCTGGATGAAGGGCTGCAGGAATAGATGGTCCAATGCAAGCAATAGAAATAACATGCTGAAACCAGCTCCACGCAGCCGGGTCCTTCCACAGCAGTTGGCTGTGCTGCAGTGGTAGTTGCAGTGATTTACAGTGGGAATTTAAGTAATAAAGTCATAGAATGGTTTGGGTTGGAAGGAACCTTAAAGCTGATCCAGTTCCAGCTCCCTGCCATGGGCAGGGACACCTTCCACTAGATGAGGTTGCTCCAAGCCCCATCCAACCTGGCCTTGAACACTAGCAGGGATGGGGCAGCCACAGCTTCTCTGGGCAAACTTAGTGCATGGGAATAGGCTGGAGTAAGTAGGTTAAATGCTGGGGACTCTCCCCACAGCATTAGTTATTCCCTGCTCCCAGGTTTAAGAGCAAACATGCTGGGCAAAGGCAGGCAGAGCTTTGCCCATTGTCCTCACTGCCTGAGAAACAACAGCCTCAGAGCCTGAAGGCTGCTTGCTCAGGGCAATCTCTCACTGGGAGTCCAGCCCAAGCCTGGCTGAGCAAGAATTTCCAAGACACCTGCTTCAGGAGCTGGACACAACATCACTCAGGTGCCCTTTTCTGGCTCTGCCAGCCCCAGAAACAACCGCAAACACCCAAAATCTCAGAGGAACCCTCTCACATCTCTCAGAGAGTGAGCTGTAAAAGAAACCACTTGTATTACATCAGGAAAGGTGGTGTCTGACTTTTTTCTCACATAGGAGGGGATAAATGGTTTGCAGTTCTGCAGCCCCTTGCACATAAGCAGACTCAGAGCAGAGCATCCCTTTGCATGAGGCAAGGATTACATCACATTTCTACAAACGGGAAAGCCAGCGAAGATACAGGTAGCTGGAGCCCTACCCGGGAACAGAAACCCTTCCAGTCTGCTCCCTCTGCTGCCCGTGCCACACATATCCTGCCTGACATCCATCCTCAACAAATGGCAGCTCAGCTGATGGTCTTTTTCAGGAATGACATCATCTCTTTCCCTCTCACAGCACGCAGACCAAGCAAGCCAATTCCATCCTTGCATCTCCTTCTTTTCTTGCCAGGTGCTCATGGGTTGCACTAACCACGCACTGGTCGGGTGCAGACAGTGCATGCTCCAGGGGGGAAGCACTGGCTCCCTCCTCGGGTGTATTATCTGTGGTACATTGGAACATCACTGAGGATATACCTCCTAGCCATAACGTTGGAGCAGGGATGAGCCATTAAAGGGAGAGAATTCCACATCACTGCCAGACATCCCAGCAGCGCTTTGCAGTAGCATAACATCGTGTGTGGAAGGTGGTTAATGATACAGCTACAACAGGCAGGGCTGGGAGTCGTCACAGCACAGATCAGATTTCTTAAACCACTTCATGTCTGCAATATCGTAGGTATTTGTGACAAACAAACAAACAAGGGGAGGGTCTTTCATTCAATCCCTTCTCTGACACTATCAGTGAAAAGTAGAATCACTCCATGAAGAGGAAGCTGCCTCCAGCCCATCACCTACTTGTGTATGTGCATGTAAAGACAACATATATCTGTATCTCAGTGTTTTGATGCCTTGACTGAAAGCTGCCAAGCAGTCATCCCACCCCCCCTTGCACAGCAGAGGATGCTGCAGGATGTCTCCATGCTTTGTAGCTGGAGCACACTCCCAGATGTGGGTCTTCATCCACCCTCTTAGGGCACCCCTGCTTTGGGGAACACAGGGACTGCTCATCTCTGAGTGCTTATGGTTCTGGGGAGAAGACCCCTTGCCTCAGCAGGGTGCACAGGTCAGGACAGTCCATGCTCCCCGGGGCCAAACACAACGCTCATCATTAAGTGTGCATTTCCTCCCAAAGCCTGTCGCTGACCCCCAGGTTGTCTTATTCAAACTCACAGAGGAAATCACAGTGCAAACTAGAACTGGAAACCCTGAGGTCCTGGGGCTTGCAGCAGCTCCTCTCTGCCATAGATCACCTCACTGCCTCCTTCCAGAGCAGCACACTCAAAAAGAGAAAGGAAAATGCCTAAAGACAGCAAAACATCACCTTTTGCAGGCTTGAAGACTGGCACCTCTCCCAGGCCACCATTTGATGTGGACAAGCATGCACTGCATGTGCTTGTGGTACAGTTGGGCAATTTTTAATATAGAAATATGTTTGGTTTTTTAATATAGAAGCAGGGCTTTGAGCGTGAAGCTCTATGATGTATAGAAGCAGCAATGCTGCATAGCTGCCATGAGCTCTTGAAAGCACCAGCTGCATTTCCAATGTGTGTCACCTCTTTCTTCAGCAAATTGTGAAAGGGAATAGCTAAACACCAGCTTCTGCTGCTTTCAAGCAACCACACAATGGAGAAAAGCAATTTTGAGGAACCCCCTTAAAACGGGATGAAATACACTGTGGCCATAGAAAGGAGTGGGATGCACTGGTTTCATAGCAGGCCAGGGGATGGTGATACAGAAGGTTTGTGGAAGGTAAATTGTTTTCTTTAACTCATTCCTGCATGGCACTGCAGGCTTGGGGAGATAACACAGCTTTTGCTAACCTGAAGAGCATTCCAGGAGCCAGCTTCCCATGCAGGAGAACCATCTAGAGCTCACCTTGCTTCTGGAAAAGCTGGAAAGTCAGGAGAAGCCTCAATCTGCCTGTTACTTGCTTAGCTTTGGGATCCAAACCTTACTGGGAGAGAGTGGAGTTTTCAACCGAAAGAGCTCCCAGGACCCCTTTATGGAGCCAAGGAGGAAAAAGAGGATGTGGTGCCCAGCCAAAACCAAGGTCAAGACAAGGACAGTATTATTGTAGCCCCTGCTGCTTTTCTTTGACCTCGAAGGGGAAACAAGCCCAGTCTTTCTCTTTCAGAGAGAGCTTTCCTTCTCTTCACAATGAAAATTTGCACACATTTAGCTGCCTCCTAGGGAGCTGTTTGTATTTTAATGCTTTGCTATTTGCAATAATTTGAAAACAGCAAGAGCCGATTGCTCCATGTATGTCACAGGAAGCAGCAACCAAGATGTCTTGGGGAGACCTATTTTTGTCTAAACCTTGTCGGTACCCAAACCTGGATGGCACTAAACAGCACCGAAGTGCTGCTGTTGAGTAAGTGTGTGCAGGGAGTATTCATTCTACTTTGCATATCTCTGCAGGCAGGAGGACCCCATCAGCATCAACTGCTTTGGATGAGCCTGTTACTGGAGAGCCACACAGTCCCTCACCCAAGGGGCACCACAGCAGCCAGCCAAGCACCAGGGATACTCTGTTTGTTATCATCTCAGTGCAAGCAGCACGTTCTCACCTGTTTTTTTTCCTCTCACCTGCACACACTGGCATTTATAGTGCCCTGATTTATACTGCAGACCCTGCCCTTTTCATATCCACCTCTATGCTGTACGTGTTGCTCCTCCCATGATTCAACAGACGAGATATAGGTATTGCTTTTTAGGGGGAAAGGATGGAAAATAGTTACTCTAAGGAAATCCCTGGGGTCCCTTTCTCCTCCTTCACCAGCATCCTCACCCCTTCCCTGCAGAGAAACACAGCAGGGCCCTTTCCAGCCGCTTTAAAGCTCACTGAGCCGGGCACACTGATGGTGATGCAAGCTGCTTTGGTCAGCCCGCGCTTCCTTAGCGCATCTTGGCCAAACCTGCTTAACAAGTGCAAAGAGACTATCCACGAGCTGCACTAACTAGTCCTGTTTTCACTGGGGACCACCAGCTCCAGCTGTGCCTCACATCTGGCAGCCGCTGTCCAGGCCAGCGTGCAGGGGTATAGCCCTGCAGCAGCAGCCCTTGTTGGGTTTTGGTGGCAGACAGTGCCCTCCAGTGGGACATTTGCCACCACACCATCCACACATCTTCACATAGGGGAGAAAAATGAACAAAAGTCGTTCCAATTTTAAAAGCCCTAAACTGAGCAAATAGAGAAGTTACAGCCTTCAGCTGCAGGACAAGCTGGGGACACAACTGTGCTTTACTGCCAGAGGAGGATTTACTTGGCAGTGGTGCTTTGCGCAGCTAGCAGCAACCAGCATCCATGCAAGAACCAAGAATGCTATCCCCATCATTCAGTGACAGGGGATCCATGTGCCATAATCTGGTCAGGAGTCTCCCCAGAACACTAAGTGAAGCTCTGGGGGTGCTCCTCACGCAGGCTAGAAGCCCCCCAACCCCAGCCCCAGATCCTTAGGTCACGCCAGGGCTTCCCGTAGAGTTCTGCCTCAGGGGCAGGGGAAAGCAGGCAGCATTGAGTGCAGATGCAAAATAACTTTTAATCTCTTAAACTAAACACGAAAATATCTCATTTGCCTTTTTTTTTCCTTAAAAAAGTGTTTAATTTCCGTGTGCTGACAGCTCTGCACCGCTCTCATACAGGCTAAGTCAGGAGAAGATGCACAGCAGTGTGGAACACGCACTTTGTTCTCCAAGCTAGGTGAGTATTAAAAATTAAACCACAAGACAAGGAAGACTGTGATGGGACATTTATGGTCCATAAAACACACCAGAAGGGCTCATTCACACAGCCAGTGGCTTGTGTCAGCTGGGGAAGGCAGGAGTGACAGCACAGGTCACCAGGGCCATAAGGGGGTTTGAGGGAGCCCCGGGACCCCCTCAGAGCTGGGGGGACTGCTCCAGGAACACCTGGTACTCCTGGGCAGGGTGGACCCGGGCAGCCCAGAGCCATTCAGGGGGCCTGGCCCGCAGCTTCAGCTGGAAGGGGTCAAGGCGCAGGCACTGCCCCAGATCATGCAGCTCCATCACCGGCTCCTCTGCAGCCCTCGCTGGGGGCTCCTCAGGGCTCAGGCTCCTCCTGGGGTGCCGGCCCCGCATGGCTGTCCTGCACAGGACACCTGCAGCCACCAGCATCGACAGGGCAGCCGTGATGGCTGCACCCACCAGGATGTCGCCATGGCGGAGGAAGAAACTGATCCCTGCAAGAGAAGGGCCATGGCCTCATCCTGCTTGCCCCAAGTGGTCTCTACTGTGCTCACAAAGTCCCCCACATCATGACCACAGTGCTCAAGTGCTGTGGATGCTCACCCAGCGGGGTCAACATCTCCCCTACTGCCCTGAATAAACCCTCATGACTGTCTCTGGGGCAGAGCATCTCTCCCAAACCTCCATCCCAAAGAAATATTTAGATCAACAGCCAGCCTGCAGGAGCAGCACAAAGCCATGGGCAAACCCATGTGCAGCTACATGCAAGCTAAAAGACCTGCTACCATTCCCATACAGATGTGAAGGGATCCTCTCTGTGACCAAAGGGATAAATATGTATTTATCATATTATTTCTATCTTAATAGAACAACATCCAGCTGACCTGGGTAGGCTTGGACTACATAACTGGTTAATGAATTTGGAGCTGGGAGAATTGAGGAGAAATGCAATTTGGCTGCAAAGTCACATTCAGGTTTAAGCCACTTCCAATGCTGCAGGGATGAGAAGTAGTTTTGGTAAAGTAGCAGCAGTGTTTTGAGTACATATTGCAGAATATTGCTGCTTTCAGTCTAGCAGGACATATTACTCTGCAAGACTGCATTAGCCAGCTCTGATTACAGGCAAGCACCACATACCATCTGCTTAGCCTTGTGTCAAATATGTCAGGGGAGAGCTGGGGTAAACGCAACATCAATGCCTTTCTCACCACAATCTACACAGTGTGCCAGGAGAGCACAGGGCACTCCGAGGAGCGACCAGGTTTGCTGGTCACATCAGCTACAGCAGAGGTAACTCATAAATCACCCTTGTCCACACTCTGCTTATAGCAGCAAGCTCTGAGCAATCAGGGCCAGAAGATGCAGGTCCTGGGGAATAGAGGCTCACATGTGCCAAGTTGTAACCCTGGTGCAGAGAAAGTAGCAGACTGGGGAAAGGGAGGCTATGGCTCATGGAGAGGCTATAATTGGAAGTGCCAACAAAGCCAGTGAACACAGTACAGCAGCAAACACCATGGGCTGTTACCAGTATTTAAACATCTGTTAAATACTCCAGGCTAAGCTCCAGGTTCAGGTGCTGGCTGTCACATCAACTCACTGCTCCCAGGGAGCATGAGCTGTACCAAGAGTTTCCATCCACAGCCTCCCTCGAGCGGGAGGAAGAATCACAGAAGGGCTGAGGTGGGACAGTTGTTTGGTATCTCCAAGGATGGAGACTCCAAAACCTCACCAGGCAACCTGTGTTAGTGCTCAGTCACCTTCACAGTAAAAATAACAGCAAGTGTTTCCTGATGCTCAGGAAGAGCATCCCATGTTTCACTTTGTTCCCACTGCCTCTGGTCCTGTCACTGGGCATCACCAAGAAAAGCCTGGCTCTGTCTTCTTTGCACCCTCCCTTGAGGTATCAACATACATCAGTAAGATCCTCCTGAGACTTCTCTTCTCCAAGCTAAACAGTCCCAGCTCTCTCTGCCTTTCCTCACAGGAGAGATGCTCTAGTCCCTCATCCTTGTGGACCTCCATTGTATTGAGGAACCCAAAAGTGACAGCACTCCCTTAAATGTCCAGGCACACTCAGGAGAGCTCTTGGGAGCACAGATCTCACACTGAATTACACCCAACAAGCAGCAAGACTTTAACCTGACACAGTTAAGTGATGCAGGTTGCTCCTTGGAGGCTTATCTCGGCTGACCTCTGAAAGCCAATGCCTTTGGAGCCTGGGAAAGGCCATTTCTCCTTTGAGTACAAGGCTCTCCTAACTTAGATACCTATGCTGCCTAAGCTTCACTTTTCCACCCTCCTCTTACTTTCTGAAAGGATCACATTTGCCTCCCAGTCTGCTCATATCTGAGCACAACTCCTAAAGAAGAGCTCCTGAAGCTGAAGGAGGAGGCATAAGGGGACCAACAGCTAGGAACTGCCTTGCAAGGATATCCTTCCCACACCAGGCATGGACATCTAAAGCCACCACTCCAGTAGCAGTGCCATTTTTAAGCATCACATGCAAAGCACATTAGCAGAGGCACAGTCACAGAGAGAGCCCCTTATCCTTAGGTGCTTGCTCCAGGCTGCATGTGGCAGGAATGATGCTGCAGAAGTTACACACACACACACAAGAAAAGCACCCAGCTGCAGGAGAAAGCAGAGCTGCTACTTTGTCCTCTACCTGATTGTGCAGCAGGGACGCAGAGGGTGCCAGACTTGGTGGGGGAATGATCTTCATAGTCCTTCTTGCAGCGGCAGAGGTACGTGCCCACACCATTGAAGCACTCTGCCTCCTCCCCGCAGAGTCCAACCCCAGCACTGCACTCATTCACATCTGTAACAGGGGAATAGGTGCTGTAAGTCGAGTCAGGCTTGGCATAAAAAGGTTTACCCCAGAGAAGTGAAACACCCACCTTCAACGAACAGTGAAACAAGGTGCAGATTCTCTGCTCCTGCTGAGGAGCCAAGTAGGTCCTCCAGCTGGGAGTGTAGGAGCAGAGACATGTTCCTGTCCTCTGGCTTCAGATGCAGCCAGAAGGTGAGCAGCAGGTTGGCATCGCTTGTCCTGCAGGCAGGAGGAAAACATCACCACCAGGCCCAGCTATGAAAGCCCATTTAGATCTTCTACCTACTTGTATTAGATCATGGTGCTGCAGGCTCTTGCAAAGATGATTTGTGACAAGAGGCAGCTTTGCACTTGGACCAAGGGATAAAGGAAAGCCTGGTAATGGTGCTCACTTGGAGCTAGGCTGAAGTGATTAGCTGTTTGCATAAAGCAATTTGCAATGGCAACCTGCAGCCCCAGGTCAGCCTCAACAAAGTGTGGAAGCTGACAGCTTCCAGCTTTTCTCCAGCAGACACCATGGCAGGTGTGAGGATCCTCATTTTCTCCAGAGTTTAAATCCCTCTTAAATGTATAAAGATACTAGCCAACACTAAACATTATTTTTCATCATCTCTCCTCTAGAAAATGATTTTTTTTTCCTACTTTCAGGAGAAGTTACAGCCCACAGGAGAGGAGCAAGCCTGGATCTCTGCAAGGGGAAGGAGAATCAGGAGCCAAGCCTAAGCAATACTACCTAAGCAATATTGCAGGTTATAGCAGTCAGCTTATAGCTGCCAAGCCAGCAGCAGAGCAGTAGCCCTACCTTTTGATTTCCTTTAGCTTTAGTTCATTGACTCTGTTGGCAGGAAGTTTCAGGTTCTCCTGGATCTGCAAAGGAACAGAGACCAGTGCCGATTTGATGTTTGATGGGCAGGAGAATGGCAGTAAATGGTTTTTCTCAGTCTACCCCCCTGCCTTGCTCTTCCCCTTCACAAGCCGTATGGGATGCATTAGATGTCCCATAGCGCACTGCTCTGAGCCTTTTCTCTAAGGAGAATACTAACTGTTCCCATCTGCTTAGCTTCAGCTCAACCTCCACAACACACAAGGTCATTTGGGAAAAAAGAAGGGCAATAGTAGTCCCAGGTAAGAGTTTGGCTGCTAACATATTTAGGCTTTGGCCTCAAGCTGCCCCATTATCAGAGGTGAGTTCCAGCCCTCCACTGGTTATAACCCTGTCTCTGCAGTGCTTCTCCACCACCTTGCAATGGCACAACGCTATGAAGGGGCTGCAACTAACACCAGCCGGGCAACCTGCCAGGGCATCAGCATTGGCCTCAGATGCTGGTTCATCACATGGCTTTGACAGAAAATCCCTGGAATAAAGGGCACAGCATGGTCTCTTCTAGTTGAAGATTTGGGATATCACATTTGTTTTTCTCTCCTTCCTCACACCCAGACTTACATAGCTCTTCATAGGTTCAAGAAGACCCTTTTGGAGCTCACTTCCACCATGAGGAATCCAGTCCTTGGGTTTGATTTCAATAGTTACTTCAAACAGCACATCTACCAGAAGACACAAGATCCTAGCATGTTTAAGTCTGTATAACACTAACAGGCTCCTTAAATGAGTTAGTCCTTTAAACAGACACAAGCAGAATAGCTCCACAAGGACGTGCTTGTGTAAGTCAGTGCCACGTGGGTATTGTCAGAGGCTGTGCTTCAGGTAGAACAAGTTGTTGAGTACTCGGTGAAAGGAAACCTTAGGTAATGCTCAGTGATGAATACTAGAACTGACCTTTAATTGAATACCAAGAAGTATTGAGAAAAGTTCAGAGCATTAATATATATCCAATCACATTCACATTTCTTCAGCCAGTATCTTTCTCAAAGGAATCACTGTAATTTCTGATAGAGTCTAAAATCCCATTTCTCACCTGTATCTGGGATCAGCTTAGATAAACTGCTGTGGTCTGACTGAATCCAGGCTGGCACGGATTTGCCAGGTCTGCTGTTTAAAGCCTATTTATTCAGCAATATTTCTCCTGTTCAATCCTCAGGCTCCTTCTGTATTGACTCCTTTTTGCAAGCTATTTCTGTGGCTTGCTCTGCCAAATAAGCCCAGTACTATGCTGCTCAGTTGCTAATGTTCCCATAAAGGGGGTTTGCTTCTCTCCCTGGCCTGAGGAGCAGAAAGAGCTGCAGGTTTCTGATCCAGGTAGTCATGAGACACCTATTGGAGTGTATTGGAGCAATTGAGGCTCATTCACCACAGAAAAACGTCCTTTAACCAGCCAATGAGCAAAGCTTGAACTCAAACAAGCCAACATTTATGCCAGGTTTAATATGTGAGCTGGGGTTTCTCCAGGGTACATTCAAGGTGGCCAAAGCACAACTGTGGGATTGCAGTGATATCTTAAAATCTTCAATGACTCAGAAACACCCTGCACTGGTTTCTAAACCTAAGGAGAGGTGACATCCATGCACCACACCAGTCAGCACTGAGCTTAGGGCAGGGTTTTAAGTCATGCATAACTCTGCATTGCTCACCTCCGGGATGGTGCTGGGATTGCAGTGCTGTGCTGTTCTCCAGAGATGCCAGGGCAGAAGCCAGATCTGTCAGAGCAAGGAAAAGAATCAGGCTGCTAACCTCAGTGTATTGGTAAGGGTGTGTGGGGGGGGAAGTACATAAGGTATGTATCACTTTGCAACAGGAGTGCCATGTGCCAGCTTCTCCCTGTATTCTTTCTGCTGAAATTAAACATCAAGCTCTAAATAACATATACTGTACAGTAGGAAGTGCTTTTTGGAAGATGTGATCCCAATAAACCTAACGTCTGTTCCTGGAGGTGAATGAAACGTTATCCCTGTGAAGCCACACCAAAGCTCCTACAACCAACAGAGCTGCCTTGGACACTGATGAAGCAAAGCAGCTTGTGTATTAGATGCCAGCAACTTCAAAAGAGCTAAATAAACTCTTCTCCACATCTACAAGAGCAGTTTGGAGGGGAGGAAAGACCAATTGAGAACCTATTGTACCTTCAGACAGAAATTAGTAGGTATGGGTGGCTAAATATTTCTGTGAAGAAGTCTACCATCAAACTTTCTTAGGAGACAAAAGCCTTCCCCCCCTCCACCCCCCAACTTCCAGAGCTCAAACTCATTTGTCATAGCTAGGACCACTGTGCCATAGGCTACAGCCATAGGAATCAATGTAAGCCAGAGCTGTTTAAAACCAAAATGAGCAGCCACAGTCTGCTTTGGTTATAAAGTCACAGCTGAGAGGCTGGCTCCTCAAAGCATTTGGGTTGGAAGCTAGCCTGTCTCTGTTAAGAGGAGCATCATCCCATAGATGCCCAAATTACAACAAATAGTCCTATGTCTTCTCTTTCTTGGATATAGAAGGAGTCAGTGATATCACGTGGACCAGCTGAAGGCAACAGCCATGTTATGAGAGCACTGCATCACTGGAGACAGATACTGCACAGTGTCAGGCGCCAGTTCAGCCACAAATAACCCAAAAAACACCTTACCAAAGAACTCTTCCGTGCTTTCTCCCAGAGACACCGTATCTCCAGCATTCACACCAGGAGAGGGGTAGAGAGGAGGTTTTGTACTTGTGTTTAGCAGTGGCTCTTCCAGCACTGGTGTCTGTGTGAGATGTGCAGCAGCAGCCACTCCATCTGACAGGCTGCTGCTGGCCTGATCCAGACTAGATGGTTTGGCAAGGAGACCTGCACTGCTGCTGGGCACCTCTGAGGAAGGGGCACCTGCTGTGGTGACTGGAGCAGACACCAACTCTACATCCCCCTTTGCAGCCTCCAAAGCAGATGGCTCAGCTTTACACCCAGCACCTTGCCCAGATGGAGCTTGCTCCACCAGCATGTCAGCTTCAGTTTCTCTGCCCACAGTGCCGCTATCCTCAAGGCTCCTTTGCAGCTTGGTTTCATCCCACAGCTGATCATACTCACTGAGGTTAGCACCATACTGAGCATCTTCCATAAGAACAGGAGAGTGTTGGGTCTCTCCATCTGTGCTCACAAGCTCAGGCTGGGTCCTGCCACCACCAGGTATAGCTGATGGGCTTGCAGAGGCTCTCAGCATGGGCAATCGACCTTTTGTCACTGCTGTCTTCCAGCCCTCTTTCTTAGAGGTCTCCTGGATGGGCTCTCTGGTAGCTATGGCATCATTTGACGAGCCCATGGTTTCAGAGTCTCTGAACACATAATACTGTCCTTTAAAAGATCTGTATTCATGCCTTGGGGAACCACTCCCTGACAGAAACAGCACATGGACTGCAGCAGCTTGCGTAGCAAAGATCAGGGTGCCTCGGCTTTGACAGGCATACACCACTTTGGTTTCCACACTCGATGAGATGCCCTGGAAGATGATCTTGTCATGGTTCTTGCCGCAGCCATCACTCCCATGGAACCCCTGGACATAGATGACAATGTGCTTCTGGGGGCCTGCCCAGATGGTCCAGTTACACCAGATGTTGGTTTTAATGTCAGAATGCAGCGGCAGGTAGAACATCCCAGACCTGTTCTGAAAGACAAGGTGGCAGCTCCTGATGGGGAAGTACTCCATTGTCCAGGGAGGTCCAAGCTCTGACACATGAAACAAAAGAGAAACATGGTCAGCAGCTACTGTGTGCACCAGGACACTGCTATCACACATACAGGGTGCTGCAAGTTAACACAGAAAAAGCCCCACTTCAGACCCTCTCTCAGTGCAAGATTTCTATAGTTGTAGCCCCTGGAGCCACATCTCAGCTCCACAATCAGAGCTGAACCTGGACCCCAGCTGCTCTGCAAGGGTCTGGCCCCTCACAGCCCATCCAGCCTCCAGCAGCTGGAATTATGTGGGTTTGCTTCCCACAGAGGTTTGGCCAAAAGACCACTTGCTGGAAATCTTCCTATATTGGGTTTCCATGGCAAGGAAGGAGTCAACATGTGATGAACTGACTGCAGCCCCCATTCCCTGTCCTGACGCTGGGGGAGGAATTTGGGAGTGAAGTTGAGGCTGGGAAGAAGGGAGTGGTGGGGGAAGAGGTTTAAAGATTTGGTTTTATTTCTTATTGCTCTGATTTGCATGGTAACAAATTAAACCAATATCCCCAAGTCTGTTCTGCCCATGACAGTGGGCAGACAGCAGGTAATGACTGCCAGGGAGGGACTGCAGGTGAAAGACACAGCCTCATCCTTGCCCCCACCAAGTTCTCCTGCCTTCTAAAGATGGCTTATGCCAAGATACAGAGTACTGTGAGACCTACCAGCATGTTTCTCTTGCTGTCCTCCTGGCATCTGACTGTTTCCAGATGCATCGGAGGGCTCCTGTGGCTTTTGGCCTCTTGACAGTGTCTCTCCCCTCGGGGCTACGGAAGGAGCAGGGTGTGCAGGAGTGGTGCTGGAGGAGGCATTTCTCCCCTCCTCTGCATGCCCTTGAGGAGCTTCTATGGTTTTCTGCATTTTAACTCCCCTGAGGATGGAGGCAGAAGCCAGTTTGTCATTACCAGCCATGCCCTGGCCCTGACAATGCACAGGCACCACGTTCTCTGATCTCCTTGCTTCCCAGGCAGCAGGTAGGGAAGCTGGTGCCACCCCATAGCCGCTGCTCGCATGGTCCTCAGGCTGAGGAAGCCCCACATCAGGCCTTGGGACAGTGATGGAGGCTGGGGAAGGACCCCTGTCCATCAAGGCCATAGAAGCTGAAGTTTCTGCTTGCTGGCCACCCGCCTCCCCCAGCACCAGCTTTGGCATTCCAGGGCTGAGGTGCCTGCTGGACTCGTCTGTGCCCAGTTCGGAGGCTACTGGTGGGTGGTGAGGTGGTGAAGGGGAGAGCATCTCCTGTTCTCCTGGGCTAGCCTGCGAGATGCCCACCCTTTGCCTGAGACTGACAGGGTCCGAATGCAAAGCAGTTGGTGGAGAGAAGAGCAGCTTGGACACAGGCTCTGGAGCAAAAGGAACTTCAGGAATTAAATCAGTAGAGCCAAAGTCTGCAAGGACTGGAGCTGTGCAGGAGAACACCAGCACAGGGGTTGCTTCTGTCCCTATGGTGGACATGGCTGTGGGAGAATGCTCCAGCCCCGTTGGCAAATGGGGTACAGCCAGCCCTGGCTGTGCAGCTCTGTCACTTTGGTGGTGGCAGCTTTGTACAGCAAAGGAGGACACATGAGCTTTCTCAGCAGCGGGACCAATGTGTGCTTGGGCATTTTGGAGGAGGCTCCCAGGGTCTGTAGGGGACGTCTTCAGGATGTGACTGCTCTGGCCATGCAGATGAGGATGCTCTTGCAGGATATCCCATGGTACTGTGGGGTGCAGTGCTGTTTCCTCCCTGACAATTGCCCTAAAACTTTCCAGGGGAGAAATATCCACATGTTTTGTATGTTGGAGGCCAGCTGTTCCTAGCACAGATTGGGTCATGGACAAGCCCCTTAAACTGCTTTGGCATCCTTGGCTTCTCTCAGGTAGCAGATGTGAGTGGTCCCTGTTCACCACTTCATATGGGCTACTCAGACTGGGCATCAGGCCCTTTGCAAGGCCATCAGCATCACTGCTCACAGCGCCATCAGTTGGGACACTCAACTGAGGATGGCTTTCAGCCTTCTCTAAGCTGACTGCACTGACCCGTCGGTACATGGTGGTATCTGTGCTATCTTTGCTTTCTCTTCTGCCAGGGGACAAAGACTGTGAGAGGGCAGCCAAGCCCGTACATGTTGGCTTAATAGTAAACTGTAGGTCTCCCACATCTTTTGGCCCCAGGGTAGGGTGCAGGGCAGACTGCCTGCTCTCCAGACCCACACCTGCTGGCTGCAGAAAAGGCTCCTTTACCTGCAAGGCACCAAGCAAAGTTGTTTCCAAAAGCATGCTTGAAGGCCTGTGGGTATAATCAAACCCCATGGTGATGTCCCCGCTCACAGAGAGACTCTGCCCCCAGGTATCCTGTGCTGCAGTGGGGACAATGCCCTCAGGTGTTCCTCTGCCTTGAGCTTCCTTGCAGCATCTCAGACTTCCCACAGCTGTAGCATCCAAAGTGATCCCTCTTCCGGGCATCAATTCACTGCTTAGCACGGTGGTCTTGACAAGGCTCATGGTGCTATGCGTGGTTCTAGAGCCCAGTGCATCCCTCAGGTTTTCAGGCAGGCCAGACTGAAAAACATTATCTTCCTTTGGAAGCTTTGGAGCAGGAGATTCAGAAATCACATCATCTTTAGAGGAGGATTCACCTTCCTGGTCTTGGAAGATGTAGTACTTCGCTTTAAATTGCACATCTCTGTGGTTTGGCAAGTGCCTCTTCAGCAGCACGACATGGACAGCCTGGGCAAAGGTGGCAAAAGCATGCGTCTCCTTTTTCCAGCAAGCATAAACCACGCCGTTTGCCACCAGTGAAGAAACGCCTTCAAATAGGATTTTGTCCTCATTTCTGTTGCAACTCTCCTCAGAGACAAAGCCCTGAATATAAATTATTATATGCTGTCTGGTGCCTGCCCAGATTGTCCAGTTGCACCAAAAGTTTATGGGGGAATCAGCATGGTACACTGGAGGAGAAAACTCCCCATACTTGCCCTTCAGGACGCTGTGGCAGCTCCTTATAGGCACATATGTCAATATCCAAGGAGACTCTGACCCTAGAAGACAAGAAGCAACAACCTCAAGTTTTCCTCCATCTCCACTTCCCGGAATCACTATTCCTTACTTCCACAAAGTATTTTCAAGGTCCCTTATCTCCCCATTTTGCTACCTCCTGCTTCCGTCTGGGAAGCATGGAAATGCATCAGCAGAACAACACACAAGAAATCCCATGTCAGGTCCTGGGGTCAAAGCAGGGAGGTCACCTGGGCATGCACCAACACATGAGCCTGGGGTGCACCTAAAACTGCCATCCTTTCCAGCCTGAGGGACTGTTTCCATCCATGCCTCCCAGCAACCTACCCCAAACCTCCTCCCCATCACTGCTTGCCCCACCTGTATCTACTGCTCCAGCATACTCAGAAGCTGGGGAAGCCCTGGCCACCACCACCTCTTGCCGCACAGAGAGCCAGGCTGTACCCCCACTGCTACCACCCCAGAGCAGGGCACACTCATCCTTTAAGTGTCCCCTGATGTGGCCATGCAGGAGCAGAGGTTCCAGCGCATCCATGCGGTTAGTACTGCTTGCAGGGAGGCAGGTTTCCATCTCCAGGGTCGGATTATTTAGGGATCAAAGCTAAAGGCTTAAGGAATTGCCACATCTGAATGAGTTACACAAGCAACGAGTGTGCTGTTACCTTTGGTTTTGGCACAGAGGCACTATTTGTTGTCTATACACTGCTGAGCTGTGTATAGAGCTCCCTAAGGAACTTTCAACCCCTTTGCTTAAAGGGTTCAGCCAAACAAGAGGCCCTCAGACCCCCAGCAGGATGAGCAACGTTAGCATCTCACTATTGCTAATTCAGCCCTCAAAGTGGGAAACACCTTCCCTCGGGCAGGAAGTGATACGGTATATTCCAAAACCACTATCTCAAAGCTAGAAGAGCCACGAGCCAGTGATAGGTTTACCCTACAGGAGCACAATTAAAGTTTGGGCTGAACTTTTACTCCTTGTTTTAATTGCTGCCTAACAGTGATTTACTGCTGCACATTGCTCCTGCCTCCAGGATCCTGCTCTGCAGTAGGGGTTTGGCAGCCACAAGATAGCAGCACATGTTATCTCCCACACTAACACTGATTTTTCCCTCCCCCAGCACTGGGTACCAACCACATCTCCTCCCTCTCCATTCCACCTCAGGGCCACGTTTTTGCTCCTGGTTTTCCACACCATGGCTTGAGGTACCCAGCAAGTTTTGGGGAGGATTTAGGCTTAGAAAAAAAGTTGGTCTGAGAATTATCTCACCTGGTTTAGCCTTCTGATATTCCCGGGGGGATCCACATACCTATAAAGAGAAGTCTTATAACAAACCTGAGTACCACTGCCCATGCTTGTAATGCTGCTCAGAGAGATCCCAACCTAAGCCCAATGTGAAGGGAGGACAAAATCCACCATGTCCTGGTAGCTTGGAGTTTTGCCTTTGGACCAAGCCCCTAGGCCACCCCACTTTTTCTATGTGATAATAAATATTCCCACCTCCAAAACCATTACCTGATTTATGCTATTAGACCACAACCAATACAAAACCACTCCCAAAACACAGCAAGCAAAGTCCAGCTGTGCTTTACTCCATAGGGGTCATAGAGAGGAGAGAAGAATTTGTAAGTAGTCAGGATGCCAAACCAAGGGGGGGATCTCCCTGCAGGGAACTGAGTCCCTGCTTCCCATCACTCACCCCTCGGACAGCACCAGCAGCATTACAGGGGGACCTCAGCATCGCCCCAGGAACCTGCCTGCCAGCAGCCAGCCCCCAGGCCCAAGGTACCAGGAGCAGGGCCAAAAGCATCAGGGAAGGTAAAGGCTTCATGGCAGAGGTTTATCAGAGACACAACATCAAAATGAGCCCAAATGATATAAAGAAAACCTCTCTCTCCCTAAAGTAACCCCCCAGGCAACATAAATGTGGGATCACCGACTTTCCCAGCCCCTCTCCAAAACACATCCCTGCAGCAAAAGAACCAGCCTGGGAGCCCACTCACTCATATACTGCCCTGCTACCCCTGTGATAGCAATTAGCTAATCAATGAAATGAGGCCAGCTTTCACTCATTAGGGACAGGACTGGTCTTTCAATTCACTGTCCAGTGTTCCTTTGCTGGGTGTTTTGGTGGGAAGGTGTTATCTATTTATAATGCACAACGCTATAAACTGAAGTTAAAGTGATGCCGATACCCTGACCTGACCCAGAAGCAGAGCCCAAGATGCTTGTTCTCTTAAGAAAAAAATGAAAGATTCAGTTACTGGAGGGAAAAAACCCAACCCCAATGTAAAAGTTAATGTCTTCATCAAAACATTTTAACCAGCTTCTGCTGAAGGCTGAGATTTCCCCTAAGGCTGCACCGTTCTGATGCAGGCCTGAGTGAAACAGGTGAAACTGCCCTGAAACACAAGCAGCTCCTCTCCTAGTCTATACTTAGTGAAGTGTGGAAAGCAAATAGCCCAGGTGATGAAGTATAAATTATTAGGTGCTTAAAATTCTTTCAGCTGTAATTGTCTAACTTGTCATTAGGGGCCACGCAGATAAGGCAATTAGGCAGGTTGACATGCGGCTTTGACAATATTCCTTTTAAAATGTCAATCACCATTTAGCAAAATAAAAACCAAAATCCTTCCTTTTCTTCTAAGTCATCATAGCTTGACAGGCTGATGGATGTTCTGGGACAAATACACCCATTTTTTTGTGGGTTGAAACAAGCAGCGTGTCAGATCATCCCCCCAGCCTGGAGTTTGCAGCAGTGTTGGTGCAAGCAACTGCATCCCAGCTCCCTGTTCTTAAGCTTTTCCACACATCCCATGTGTGGTGTCACTGGCCAAAAGACCAGTGAGAAGCTGTAATTCTTGCAGCAGCACAAACCTCCTTCCACGGCCAATTGTCCGTAACTACACATCCAAAGAGACTCCAAATCTTTCTCACTGTAAAACAGGCATGGACAGACCTGCAAACCCTGCTCCATGCTTACCATAGGTTCATAGAATCATTTAGGTTGTAAAAGACTGTTAAGATAGATAGAATCATAGATAGAATCATATCACCAAGTCTAACTGTTAACCTAACACTGGCAAGCCCACCACTAAACCATGTCACTAAGGGCTGCATCTCTACATCTCCAGGGATGGTGACTCAACCACTTCCCTGGGCAGCCTGTTTCAGTGCTAGACAACTCTCTTGGGGAAGAAAGTGTTCCTAATACCCAGTCTAAGCTTCCCTTAGCACAGCCTGAGGCTGTTTTCTCTCATTCCATTGCTTGTCACTTGGGAGAAGAGACCAACCCACACCTCGCTCCATTCTCGCTACAGCAGGATTGTCCTGTACATGCCATGTAATGGCACTCGAGGTGATCTGCTCCCTAACCTTCCCTGGCACTGAGGTGAGGCTGACAAACCTGTAGTTCCCCAGCTCCTCCTTGTGATAAGCATCCTGGATGCCCTGCTGTGAAGCAGGGAGATCCCTGAGGTATCATCCGGCTCACAAGGAGAACAGGAGCGTTTGCTTCATTTTAGCTTAGCAGATGGTGGAGCGGAAATGGTGAAATAAGTGGTAAAGGCAAGTTTTCTGCTGATATGTAAGCATTTAAGTGAGGAATTTTAGCTTGGAGGTGGAGGTTGTTTGTTAGTGTCCTGATTGCTGGTGCAGGGCTGTGTTTTGGCTTTAGTATGACAATAATGCTGATAACACACTGATGTTTTAGTTGTTGCTCAGTAGCACTTAACCCTGATCGAAGACTGTTCAGTCTCATGCTCTGCCAGTGCACAAGAAGCCGGGAGGAAGCAGAGACAGGACCTGACCCAGACTAGCCAAAGGGGTATTCCAAACCACAGACATCATGCCCAGTATATAAACTGGGGGGAGTTAGAGGGAAGGGACTGACTGCAGCTCAGGTCAAGCTGGGTATTGGTCAGTCGGTGTTACGCAATAGTACTGTGCATCACTTATGGTTTTTTGGGGAGGCAAGGTTTATTCCTTCCTCTCTCTCTCTATTTCATAATTATTATTGTTATTATTATGTTTTGCTTTTATTTCAATTACTAAACTGTTTATGTCTCAACCCATGAATTTCTACCTTTTTTTCTGATTCTCCTCCCCATCCCGCTGGAACATGACAGTTCGGTAGCTCTTTCTTTTGTTTGTTTTACTGTGGGTGTTTCCATAAAAACATAAATTGTCCATTAGGATGTTTGGCCCTTTTGACTAAACCCTTGTGCTCAGCAGCTGCTGATTTTCTTGTTTATTTTGGGGATGCCTGGGCCAAGGGTGTCTGTTGGAGGTGAGCACGTTGGCATGTTCACAATGACCCATGCCAGGTTGCACAAACTCTGCACATTGAGGCCAAAAATTGTGTTTTCAGATTCTCTACCAGCTCCTGTGCTTCCAGTTTATCAGGATGAGGGTGAATCTCTCCCAGGATGAGCCAATGGACCCAACACGACCCTCAGCAGCCAGGCAGCTCTGAAGCTGCTGAGGCACCTTGGCTGCCCATTGCCACTGCAGGGCACACAGCCACCTTGGGGAGCACCGGTGCGGGCAAGTCCATCAAAGAGGCACCAAAATCAAGCTGACTTCAGCAAGTGCTCAGATTTCCCCCCCAGGCAGCACAGAGTATGAGGAGCTCCTACTTACAACTGTTCTGCCCTTGTTTATAAGGCAACATAAATAGGCTGAGAGCTTAGGATAGATAAATTTACCATCTGCCTCCCCCTAGTGATTGCATTGCTGCATGAAAAGAGAGCGAAAATCATACTGGGCAATAGTTGGTTTTATTCTCTTTTTAAAATCAAAGTTGTCACCCGAGGAAGCTGTGGCTGCCCCATCCCTGGCAGTGTTCAAGGCCAGGTTGGATGGGGCTTGGAGCAACCTGCTCTAGCGGAAGGTGTCCCTGTCCATGGCAGGGGTTTGGAACTGGATGATCTTAAGGTCCTTTCCAATCCAAACCAGTCTATGATTCTATAGTTCTGTTATGCACCAGAGCAAATGGGAAGAGCTAAAGGGAGGCAAGAAATTAAGATTTCACTTATCCCCTTGCTAACTAGAAATAACTTAGGTCTGAAACAAAGGGACGTTTTAAAACCATTTTAATCAAAGTTGAGAATATTGGTGACATCGCTGATAAGCTCTATTTTTAGCAGGTTTACAAACTTGTGCTATCCTTTAGAGCTCAGCAAGACATCCAGCTAAATACTGGGGGATGTGTCCTGGGTGCCCATCTTAATGGCTCCATCCCTCCGAGTGAGCTGAGAGTGCTGTGCTTGCAGGGGCCACTCTATTATTTATATATGCATTATGTAGAATGAGACCCCTGTATTTAGTTGCTGGAGATAAGCATCAGTTTAATTCCCATTTCTTTGTGTCACTTGTTAGCCAGATTGATTTTAGGTCTGTTGGGGACAAGAATGCAATTATACTTTTAGATGTATTAAAGGTAAGGGATTTCTCAGGACCTGATGTTTTCCTTATATACAGAGTTGGCTTTCCTCAATCACAGACTGCTTTTCATTGATTTGGCTGTTAATCCTCTGGACTATGCTTGGGGATGTCTAAATGAGTGATGCCATCACAGTCCAGTTTATCATAGAGAGTGTTTTACCCAAGTTGATGGTGAACTGTAATACTATTAATAAAACTATGTATAGTTCAGACTTCACTTTTGTGGGATTTTTACAGACTAACAGCATAAATCACACACAAGATTTGTGTATGAAGATGTGTACCATGGGAGGGCTAAAGTGATTTTTCTCTGGGCTTCACTATCAGGGTGGTGAGGCCCTGGCACAGGTTGCCCAGAGAAGCTGTGGCTGCCCCATCCCTGGCAGTGCTCAAGGCCAGGTTGGACGGGGCTTGGAGCAACCTGCTCTAGTGGAAGGTGACCCTGCCCATGGCAGAGGGTTGGAACTGGGTGAGCTTTAAGGTCCCTTCCAACCCAAACCATTCTGGGATTCTATGATGGCAAAGGAGCTGTTCTCCAGAACACATGGTAGAACACATTTTAACAGGTGATGGAAATAAATACCTGCAGAAATGGTTTTCAACAAAATATACTTCAAATTGAGAAGCTCATGCACCCTGTTCATACAGTGTGTGAGCTGCTGCTTCATTGTACTCAGCCTGATTTTTTTTTTCACACATTTAATTCAACACCACTCTGATGAACTATTCTCTAAAATCAAAGGAGTTATTTTCCTGCTTATAGCTCCCAAGGCCAGCTTTCCATCGGGAAAGCAGGTTAACTGAGCCTATGTGTCTACAGCAATGTCTCAGCATCTCCCCAGCAACAGCACTTTCTGCTTGGTGACTGTGGAGAGGAGACCTGGGGCTCGAACAAGAGAGATGCCAGAAGCAACATCTGGCAGGATCAGAGCATCTTCCCTGCACCCAGCCCAGTAGGATTTTTGTCCCCCAGCCTCTCCTAGCAGGGCAGACATGGCCCTTCTGCCATGGGGATGGTGGAGAGCAAGAGGGCTGGTGGCTGTCTCTTTGACCCCAGGAGGTTCCCAAGCCAGGGCTGCCTTGGGAGGACCAGTTCTGGAGGAGTTTTAAGGGCTCACATCCAGCTGGACATGGGCACGCGCATCCCATTCCCCAAACAGATCCCACCTCTGTGCGTCCCGAGCAGCAGGAGGAAGAAAAGGCAGAACAAAACCCCACAGCAATGATGCCCTGGCCATTGAAACCACGTGCCCGGCCAGGCCGTGCATTCTGGTGTGAGGAAACCCAGGCTGCAGGCAGCTTTGTGTCCTGCAAACCACTGCAGAACTGATTTATATTAAAAATAAAGAGCACACAATACCGAACTGGTTGGGGTTTGTCTATTAATCTCTCAACAGTCAGCTGCAAACCTAACAAATCCCCTGGAACAGCAGCAGGGAGCCCTGTCCCAGCTCGTTCCTCCCTGCCCCCTTCTACAGCTAAAAATAATCAATAACGACTGTCCGAAACAGGGAGACCAAAGCCATTTTATGACTCATATCTTTATTTGCATGCTGGCTGGGCACAAAAAGCCACCACTGGGCTGCGTTTCCCAGCAGCCGTGGTGAAAAATCACCTCCAAACATACAGGGACCTGCACAGAAGGGCTGCTGTTGTTAGGATGAGCGCCTGCATCCCTTCCTTTTGCCACCATCCTGTGTGATGCTTTGCTGGGAAGAAATAAAAATAGAAACGATGCAGCTGGGTTAACAGCGGTGTTATTCTTCCTGCTTTATGAGAGCGAGGGCTAATTGAACCGCTTGGGAGCAGTGAGCCCCGGGGAGGCAGCAGTGGTTGTTATTCTGCTGGTAATTGTTGTTTTCAGCCACCCTAAGCAGCAGAAGGGACCTGT